CACTTATTTTGACCCAATATCATTTTTTAAATAGACGACTTAATACAGGTCCTCAACCTCTGATATTTTTTGTGAATCATTTATGGTAAAAAATTGTGTTTTTCCAAATTTTTTGATTTAAAAGTTTGTCATTTTCTTCACTTTTAATGTTATCAGTATTTCGAGGTTTAGGGCCTATATTATAAGACGTCTATTTTGCAATGATATTTAATTTTTTTATTTTAGATGATTCTGCGATGAGCTACAGTGACAAGTGTAATTGAAAGTAATTTTTATCAGTGGACAAAGCGACCGGCATATTCATTGCTTTTACCCCTCTTTAAGTATAATTAAGTTAAAAAGTATTGATTATTTTTCGAGATATAAATAAAACATTAAAGGTTTATATCAATGTGTTTGCGCCCAGTCTGTCAAGTGAAAGGCCCATGCCAGGTAGTTACGAATAATGTCCTTTCCTTAGGGGGACTTACACGGAAAAAATTTCGGTCCACCGGTTGCGCTGCCTATAGTACACCTGTTGTACTAACGTTCAGATGTAAATGATATCCCGGATTCCATGCGTCATATGCGCCGAAAACAGGGACGTATATTGTCCCCAATGTTGAAGACAACACTTGAACGTTAACAGAGACAAATTGCAGTGAATCAAGAAAATAACTACAATTTTGAATCTCAGTTATTGAATTTTGTGAAGAAATTCTTTTAAGGATTTAAAATAACCGTGTATATTAATTTTATAATTGATTAATTATTATTATAAATTCAAATTATTATTTAAATTAATCCAAAAGACGAAAATATATATAAATAACTTTATAAAATTATTATTATGAAAATTTTGCTTCCTCATAAAGGAAGCCTTATAGTGATGTCGATTTCCGAATTTTTTTAAGTCAATTAATTTTACAAATTTTCAAGTGTAGTATATATAATTCGTCGAGAGGAACAAATGTCCGGATGTATGTGTGTATGTATGTGTGTGTGTGTGTGTGTGTGTCACCGATTCTTGTGGACAAATTTTCTCTTACACGTCTTGATGGATTTTGATAAAATTTTGTAGGTGTATTACGGTCATGAATACCAAAAATCAGACAGAAGGATTTTCAAAAATATCTAAAAAAAAAATTTTTTTCAATAATTTTTTAATTTTTGAAAAAATTAATTTTTGGATTTTTTGAAATAACTTTTTTCTATATTAAAATTTTTATTAATTGTTGTCAAAATTGCATTCCTGACATAAAAACGAATCGATTCATGTATATAAAGTATATATTTTATCAAAATTTATAGAATTAATAAATATTTTAATTTTTCACAAAAAATTGAAATTTTGTATTTTTTGACATTTTATCATAACACTTTAAAATAATTATTCTAAAATAAAAAATTAAACAATTGGTATATATTATATTGAGGAAGCTTAATGATCATGAAATGAACAACTTGTTTAGTATTATATTATTATTAAATTACACTGCAAAAATAAGTATCTTATTTGATATCTTAAAATAAGATGTAAGATCGAAAAATGGTATCTTACATTTTAAAATAAGATGTTTTCTAAAGTATCTTACTGATTTTTAAGATGCTTTATACGCCTTATTTCTTCTATCTTAAAAAAGTAAGATACTTCCTGTAAGTTTTTTAAAGTATCTTAAATTAAGATGTTTCTGTCTCAATAAGATGTTTAGCTAAAGGTTACTTGTGAATTGTAAGATGCGAAAAAAATTTAAGTTACTAAAACCTAAGATGCATAAAATGTTTTACATATAAGCCCATAGTTAACCTCAAAACTTTTTTCCCAAAAAATATGCTGAAAATGTGTATGAAGATGCTTTTAACATCTTAAATTAAGATATTTTAAATGACTAAAAAGTGACTACCATATAACATCTTAGAAATGACTACCAAAACATCTTAATTAAGATACTTCTTTTTGCAGTGTATATAATTTTATTTAAATTATTGTTATTAAAATTGTAAATTATTTCTGAAAAATTTTTTAAATTTCAAAAAAAAAATTATTTTGTTAAATAAGAATTAGTATAAAAATAAAATTTTTGAAATGTTTAAAAAATAAGGTTAAAATAAAACAAAGTAGTTGTTTAAAAAAATAGTAAAAATATTTTTTTTTGTCTACATATGTTTTAAATGCCTACACTGTAATTATTATCTTTATAAGATAATAATAATGCCATTTTTTCAACAAAATCATATACGCGACAGCGCATGTACAATATAGCACTGGTCCCAGCCCAGGTGCGATTTTTTGGTCGGCCCATAGTTGGGCCAACTTTTACAAAGTCGGTCCAACTTCTCGTGCCAGAGGTTGGGCCAACCATACAGATGATAACGGCGACCGTCTAATGGCGACGATGGTTGGCCCGACAACTCATAAGGAAGTTGGCCCAACTTACAATGCATATGTTGTGCCAACTATACATTTCAATGGTTGGTCCAAAGACTGACGCCAAAGTTGGCACAACTTTAGATGCGTAAGTTGGGCCAACCACAATTTTCAAAGTTTGGCCAACTTCAACAGCCAAAGGTAAAAAATTATTAAAAAACTACATTATTTAAACAATTAACACGTTATTATTAGCGGGAACATCAGATATAACCTTTACCTATTATTATTAAACACAATCTCATACATACATTTTCGAAAATATCTAACGCTCGCTGGGATCGAACCCCTAACCTAACGCACCGAAGACTTATACACTGACCACTATGCTACACTTACATGGAAATATATAACGTTAAATGTATATAAAAGCTGCAACAGTCGGGCCAACCGAGGCCCAGAGTTCGGCCGACCAAGAAAGTTTAAGTCATTTAAACTGCATTTGACAAAGTTTTGCCAACCGTCGGGCCAACCGTGGCCCAGAGTTCGGCCGACCAAGAAAGTTTAATTTAAGTCATTTAAACCGCATTTGACAAAGTTTTGCCAACCGTTGGGCCAACCGTGGCCCAGAGTTCGGCCAACCAAGAAAAATCAAGTCAATTAAACTGCGTTTCACAAAGTTTTGCCCACCGTCGGGCCAACCGTGGCCCAAAGTTCGGCCGACCAAGAAAGTTTAAGTCAATGAAACTGCGTTTCTAGAGTTTTGCCAACCGTTGGGACAACCGTGGCCCAGAGTTCGGACAACCAAGAAAGTTGAAGTCAATTAAACTGTGTTTCACAAAGTTTTGCCCACCGTCGGGCCAACCGTGGCCCAAAGTTCGGCCAACCAAAATAATGTAAGTCAATTAAACTGTGTTTTACATAGTTTTGCCAACCGTTGGGCCAACCGTGGCCCAGAGTTCGGCCAACCAAGAAAGTTTAAGTCATTTAAACTGCGTTTCTAGAGTTTTTCCAACCGTTGGGCCAACCGTTGCCCAGAGTTCGGCCAACCAAGAAAAATCAAGTCAATTAAACTGCGTTTCACAGAGTTTTGCCAACCGTTGGGCCAACCGTGGCCCAGAGTTCGGCCAACCAAGAAAGTTTAAGTCAATTAAACTGCGTTTCACATAGTTTTGCCAACCGTGGCCCAGAGTTCGGCCAACCAAAATAATGTAAGTCAATTAAACTGCGTGTCACATAGTTTTGCCAACCGTCGGACCAACAGTGGCCCAGAGTTCGGCCAACCAAAATAATGTAAGTCAATTAAACTGTGTTTCACAAAGTTTTGCCCACCGTCGGGCCAACCGTGGCCCAAAGTTCGGCCAACCAAGAAAGTTTAAGTCATTTAAACTGCGTTTCTAGAGTTTTGCCAACCGTTGGGCCAACCGTTGCCCAGAGTTCGGCCAACCAAGAAAAATCAAGTCAATTAAACTGCGTTTCACAGAGTTTTGCCAACCGTTGGGCCAACCGTGGCCCAGAGTTCGGCCAACCAAGAAAGTTTAAGTCAATTAAACTGCGTTTCACATAGTTTTGCCAACCGTCAGGCCAACCGTGGCCCAGAGTTCGGCCAACCAAAATAATGTAAGTCAATTAAACTGTGTTTCACATAGTTTTGCCAACCGTGGCCCAGAGTTCGGCCAACCGAAACTGAAAGTCTTTTAAACTACGTTTGGATAAGTTGTGCCAACCTTTGTCGCCAAAGTTGGCCCGACGGTTGGTTAAACTCTGCATTTAATGGTTGGCTTGCAAAGTCGGGCCAACTGTGGGCACAAGTACTTTCCAAAGTTGGGCAAACTCTGGCAACCAAAACTTTGCTTGCCAAAGTTAGGCCAACCTTGGGCCAACCTTCAAACTCTGGCGGCCAACCTAAATTCGCACCTGGGAGATTTGGAGACAAATGTTAGACTCCATTCAAAGTTCAACGCTTGCGCAGCATTAACACGACTGACGCACCGAAACAGGGACGAAATATATCTCGGTTTAAGGGATAAAATTTGAATCGGCTACTAACACAACGGATGTACCTTAACGTACAAACGGTGCACCAAAATTTTTTCCGTGTAGAGCACCGTTTTTTTGGTGATTGAAATAGAATCACTCTATTTTCAAATAACTGGTCGAAGAAAGTGTCTGGCATGGAGTATTTTATCCATTTGAGAATTTGAGAAAATCGTACAGGAAATATGTGTCTCTATACTACTGTATAAATACGTATTTCCTCTACAATTTTCTGCACAGTTTGGTAAAAAGGGCCTACTTTCTCACTATTGAAATATATAACTATATGAGCTTGATTAAATTGAGTGTACTTAGACCGCTCTAAGTGAAAGATTCGCAAAGTTATAGAGATTCGAAGGTAGAAGTGTCAATTTAATTTCTTTTAAAAACGAAAAATAAGAAATCTGAACCTCTTTCAGAAAATTGGAATTATCTTCTAAAATAAAATCAATAAAGTGGGCCCTTTTCATGTGGACGTACACATATGATTGTCATATTATATAACACTAACAAAATAGTTTGCAACTAAATTGCTAAACACATTATAAATGTAAATAACAATTTGGTTGAAAATTCTTTTGTCTTTTGCAAATATTGATACATAATAAATATTTAGGGGAAAATTCGAAGTATACGTGAAGCAAGATAAACAAGATAAAGAAAATCATATTCACACCTACGATAATAGTGGCGCTTTTGGAGAATTGGCTTTACTTTATAATCAACCTCGGGCAGCGACTGTCAAAGCAATTACGCCCGGCACTCTTTGGGCAATGGACAGATTAACTTTTCGACGTATCCTTCTTAAATCTGCTTTCAAAAAATGCAAGATGTACGAAACTCTTCTGAACAAAGTACCAATGCTCAAATCTCTAGAGGTATAAACTCAAAACTTACATTCAGATTATTTAATTTTTATGGATTTTTTAACTAGCTTGAAAATATAATATGATTTTATTTGACAAAATTGCAGCCTTTTGAACGAATGAGCTTGGCTGATGCTCTGATTCCGAAGCAGTATGATGATGGGGAGAAAATCATTAAACAAGGGGATTCTGCAGATGGAATGTACTTTGTTGAAGATGGTGTTGTTAGAATCACGATCCAGGGAGATAATGGTCGCGAAGTTGAGGTATGTTTTTTCCTTTTTTATTATTACAATATCATTACATTGACCTATTTTTGGGTAATTAAATTTTCTTTTAGCTATTGGGGCGTTCCATAAATAAGACAAACAATAAGACTTGATGTCTTAGGGGTCATTTATACTTTGTCAAAATATTTTTGCAAAATTTCAATTATTTTGCAAGATATTGTTATTTTAACTTCTGTGTCACTTTTTCAGCAAAATTTTTATTTCGAAACCTACAACAGTTAGAAATGCTTACGTAATACTTGAATGGTCCCAAAATTGAAAAAAAGTTATTGAATTTTAATATTTTATTGAAAAATAAATAATTCTTTTTTTCATTAATTTATTTAAACAATAATTTTTCAAAAGCAGTCAATGAAAATTTCTAGTACCTTGCTTGAGAATTTCATTGACTTTAAAAAAATTGTAAAATAAAAAAAATAATTTCCACTTGTTCACACAGTTTTTCTGAAATTCACTCATTCATTCACATATTTGGATAATTAATCACACAAACAAAGAACAATTATTGTATCACTTTTCGACGTTCGTCAACACTTATGAACTAACCTATGACACACACATATATTCGCGTATAACTTAAATATAAACACACACTTAACACTTAAAAGTACGTATCGAATTGTTCTTATATACCACATGGTGAAATTTTTCACGACTTCTGAGACATGCTATTTCACTGAAAACTGATACTTACATAACATTCTGTTTTGTAAGAAACACAAAATAAAAAATATTTTTTTGAAAGTCAATTCTTGAAGACAAATATATATTAACACTATTTGTTTTTCATAAAATAATATTATATTTACATCTGAAATTAACACAAATGGAAACAGACGATCAGCTGGCATTTACCTTGGGTAGAAACGCGCAACGCACACTGCGCATGCTCTACAGAATTTTCAAGCGCAGTCAATTAATCTTTCACGTACTTTATAAAACTGAACAAATGACTTTTCGTTAAAATTTAAAAAACACTGTTGCCCATACTAGTACTAGAATAATTCTAGGACTTTTCTATATTTTCTAATAAAAAGTATACGATACAGCCTTGTATTTTGTGTCCTATCCAAAAGTCAAGCACTTTCAAGGAAGGATTCACGTACTTTTTTTTCCGTGCATCGAGGAAGGATTGTATTAGCAAAATTTTCGATTGTGATTTTTTGACTATTTATAAACTTATTTTCATTGTACCTAATCTTTTAGTACTTTATGTACGAATGGGCACTGCCCGTATAAATATTATAAATAAATAAAAATTTTGATGTAATTTGACCTCAGGAGTCCAAAAAACGGATTTTAAAAAAATGTCCCGATGTGTGTGTGTAGTAACATTACATTTGCCTCAATATCTCAGAACGAGAAAGAGCTAAAGGGTTCAATTTTTTTTAAATTGTAGGTCTCCCCGGGGGACATAAAATGAGAGTATTTTCAGCCTGATTCATAAAGTTTAACTATATTTTTTTGCATTTTTCATATTGTAAAAAAACGTTTTTTTGACCATAACTTAAAAAAAAGTTAGGACACCTATAAATGTTTTTTTGTCCTAACTGCATGGAAAGTATGGCATTGAGGACACGCACGATTAAACGCTCATATTAGTTAAAAATTAAACTCTATATAAATGTTGACTCTTTGAAGTCTATAATGATAGAAGTTTTAAAATAGAAATATGAAAACAAAGTATTCTGGAAATATAGTATCTATTTATTTAGAATGTAGTAATTAATAATTAAACAAAACTGAAACAAGAACGTTGAAAATTAACAATTTTTACAAACGAAATGGGAACAAAACCAAATGTGTCGTAATTTTTTTAGAGAAAATCGAAAAAAATTGCGCATTTTTGTAGACAAAATATAACAAGTTGAAAATGTTGCATTTTTATAATCAACATAAAAGGAAAGTCGAAAATATCACATTTAAATAAAGAAAATCGAATAATTAACAAATGTAAAAAAAAGTTATGATAAATAGGTCCCATAGATACAAAAAAATTCATTTTTAATTAATACCTACAGAAAAAAACAAAGAATTAACATGCGGGAGTAAAATACTTTTTCTAACACACGCACCGAAAGAACATCATTTCTTTTGCCTATAAAGAGGGTGGAAAGGAGACGCATGCTTATTCCCGAAATCTTTTTTGACCAAATAGGTATTTGATATAAAACTACTTAACTTAAAATTCACATAATATGCACATTATTTGACATAAATTTCATTGTACACCAAAACTATTTAACATAAATATCATTTGTCATAGAATTCATTAAACAGAAATATTATGTTACATAAAACTCAGATAACTTAATTTCCATTTGACATAAAAATTATGTAACATAAATTTCTATTGACATAAAAATCATTTAACATACATTTCTTTTGACATAAAATTCATTTAACGTAAATTTTATTTGTTATAAAATTCATTTGACATCAATTTCAGTTGGCATAAATGTCATTTAACGTAATTCTCATTTGACATAAATATCATTAGACATAAAATTAGCCTGACATAAATTTCATTTGACGTGAATATCATTTAACATAATTATTATTTAACGTAAAATTAAATTTATATAAATTTCATTTAGCGTAAATTCCATTTAACATAGTTCTCATTTGGCATAAAATTTACTTGACATAAATTTCATTTGGTATAAATCCCATTTAACATAATTTTCATTTGACATAAAGTTCACTTGATATAAATTTCATTTGACGGATGACTCATTACACATAATTCTCATTTGACATAAAATTCAGTTGTCATAGATTTTATTTTACATAAAGATCATTTGACGTGGAAATATAGGCGCGAATTTCAAAATTGGCGAATCACAATGTTGTTGATAATATCTAATTGGTTACTTTTAAAATTCGCGCCGATATTGTTATGTAAAATGTAATTTGTGTAAAATGATTTTTATGTCAAATGAGAATTTTGTTGAATGACTTTTATGACAAATAAGAATTGTGTTAAATGTCTTTTATGTCAAATGAACTTTATGTCAAATGAAAATTATGTTAAATGGAATTTATGCTAAATGAAATTTATATAAATTTAATTTTACGTTAAATAATAATTATGTTAAATGATATTCACGTCAAATGAAATTTATGTCAAGCTAATTTTATGTCTAATGATATTTATGTCAAATGAGAATTACGTTAAATGACATTTATGCCAACTGAAATTGATGTCAAATGAATTTTATAACAAATAAAATTTACGTTAAATGAATTTTATGTCAAAAGAAATGTATGTTAAATGATTTTTATGTCAATAGAAATTTATGTTACATAATTTTTATGTCAAATGGAAATTAAGTTATCTGAGTTTTATGTAACATAATATTTCTGTTTAATGAATTCTATGACAAATGATATTTATGTTAAATAGTTTTTGTGTACAATGAAATTTATGTCAAATAATGTGCATATTATGTGAATTTCAAGTTAAGTAGTTTTATATCAAATACCTATTTGGTCAAAAAAGATTTCGGGAATAAGCATGCGTCTCGTGGAAAGTATACGTCTTTCCCGGAGGCAGGGAGAGAATGTTACTTTCCCTCCCCGTGACGTCATAACGGGGAGGGAAAGTAATACTTTCCCTCCCCGCTGTGACATCACGGGGAGAGAAAGTAATATTCTCTTCCTGCTGCTATAATAATTTGTAATTTTTTTTAATAAATGCAAAATATAAAAAGAGCTATATAAGAAGGGGAAGGGGGAAAAGTTGAAGATTATAGGGAAGTCACGCTCATGCCAGTGGGGTACAAAATATATGCAGAGGTATTAAGAAAAAGACTGGAGGAAGAAGTGGAAAGGGGGGGAATGATACCGCATAATCAAACGGGTTTTAGGGTGGGGATAACATGATAACATTTTTGTTTTAAATTTTTTAGTTAATTGTAGTTTTAAGAGGGAAAAAAGGAAATTAGTAGCGGTATTTGTGGATTTTAAAGCGGCGTTCCCATCGGTAAATAGGGGTATATTATGGAAGACGATGAGGAATATGGGAATAGGTCAGGGTTTAATCGAGAGGGTAAAGGAATTATATACGGATAGAAGAGAAAGGGTAAAAATTGGGAGGGAATTTGGGGAAGAGTTTTGGCTGGGTAGGGGGCTGAGGCAGGGCTGACCCCTTAGTCCAATATTGTTTAATGTGTTAATGGCTGATTTGGAAGAGAGAATGGGAAAGAAAGGAAAAGGGGGGGTGATTCTGAGTAAGGGCAGGGTATATACGTTGGCATATGCGGATGATGTGGTTTTAATGGCAGAGGATGAATGTGGAATGAAATTATTATTGGGGGAATTTGAGAGGTATGTAAAAGGGAAAAAGATTTAAGTGTGAATGTGGATAAGACAAAGGTATTAAGATTTGGAAGAAGAGGAGCGATGGAAGAAATGGTATGGAAGTTAAATGAGAGAAGAGTGTAAGAAGTGAATGAGTTTTGTTATCTGGGATATTGGTTCAATTGGGATGGGGGGCAGGAATTGAATGTTGAGAGACGTATGGAAAAAAGGGGAAAAATGATGGGGAAGGTTTGGGGGATTCGGGAGAGGAGATTTAAGAATGATTGGAAGAAGCGTGTGTGGTTATTCGATGCTTTAGTGTGGGCCGTGATAAGTTATGGGGTGGAAGTATGGGGTTGTAGTGAGATTGGAAAGATTGAAAGTTTTCATGAAAGGTTTTTAAGATGGACTATGGGGGTGGAACGCAATTGTCCGGGGTATATGATAAGGGAAGAGGTGGGAAGAGAGAAGATTGTGCTGAGGCAGAGAAAGAGAGCCATGGGGTTGGAAGCTAAGCTGGAGCAGGGAAGAGGGAGCGATATAGCGTGGGAGTATTGGATGGATGAGCAGGAGAAAATGTGTAGAATATGTGGTTATGAGGTGGAGGATTGGGATCATGTGTTAGCGAGATGTGTAGGGAAAATGGATGTGGGAGGAGTGTAAGGAGGATTAGG